GAAGAGTGAAAATAGCTGGACCAGAACAAAGTCCGGTGTCAGTATTTCTTCATGCCCGTTGTCGAGTGATTAATTTGATACCTATGAAAAGGGGTGTTTAGATAAATAAAAGACTTACTTGTAGAAAAGGTGTTTGTGGGTTGGTAGAAACTTAATCAACGAAAGAGAGGGATTTCCTTCTTGGGCTTGATATTTCTGATGGCCTGATTTGGTTCTCTGGAAACCAAATAAGGCAAGCTCGTGTGAGTATCGGCCGAGTTAGTAGTAGAAAGCTTGGTAGCTTTATCGTAGGTCTCCTCAGGGATGCTGGCAAGTAAGTTGTCAGGTAGATTACCAAAATCTAATGCTTGACGAACCTCAATAGTGCTGGCGGCGGTATGCAATCAGCTAGTGTGCAAAGGTTACCAAAACCTTTACTTGTTTGTTCTCAGATGACGGTCTCTGGTTCGGGCACTGGTTTCTCGGATGACAATCACTGATTTCTCGGATGACAGTCTCTGGTTCAGGCACGGGTTTCTCGGATGACAATCACTGGTTTCTCGGATGACAATCTCTGTTCAGGCATGGGTTTCTCGGATGACGGGCTCTTGTTTGTTCAGTCAGAAAGGTTAATTAAAACCTTGGGTAGCGTGTAGAGTTAGTAAGACTTCAAATATATTTGCTGACTAGTACCAGCCAAATAGACAATAGAAGTGGGTAACTAAACAAGCTGAGTTCAATTCAGATGGGTGATGATAATTTTTCCCACGGGTACTTCTGTGTACGGAAATAGACCTCTAAGAGCACTTAAGAAAAGAAGCACTCTAATAAAAGCTCTCTTTATTTTTAGAGACATACTGAACTGGAAGTGGGGTGTAAATTAAGATGTTCTAACTGTACTACATGAGTTCCTTATATACTACTAGCGTGGGAAACTGATCCCTCCCTGACTCCTAACGACTCTTTCTGACTCTTCTGACTCTCATTGACTGACTCCCGTTGACTCTTTCTGACTCTGTGCCTTACCAACCATTACCAACCAGAACTATTTTTAGCTCTAAGCGCATGACTCGGAGATGACTCGGTGTTATCTCCATGTATACCGTCCTCTGGATTTTGTCTGGAACTTGGGCCTGGACCTTTGTTTCCCCATTTGGATGATTAGTAATATTTTTCCTAAGTAATTCCTAAATCTATTTCACACATTAACCCTTAACATTTTTAATGTATGACACCGTATACTACACCCTGGACAATTTGAACCAAGAATTGAACTGACAATTCAAACGATAACCAATACTGGCTCAATGATCAATAGGTTAGCCTTGAACTTTGATAGACTTGAGATTATGCATCCGGACTTCTTGCCGGTCTACTTATTGTCCTACAGAACACAGAAAATAATGTCCTACTCCTCATCCGCTCCTCATCAGATTTCTTGATGCGAGCCCTCATAAAAGACAGACAGCCTTTTGAAAATGACATTTTGGATCCGAAATTTCGTCTCGTACGATCTGTTGTGGCAGAAATGAATGAGAGATCAGCAAGGATCCACTTCAAGAAAGTTTCCGCCAACAGCGCCAAGTCTTTAACAACTGATACCATTTGGGAGGTCCAGGTCGACACAGAAATTGACATTATGTTTGAAACACCTGGTATACTTCTGTTGCTGGGCTCACAAAGGACTTTTACTAAAATCATAAAAATGCTATGGCCCAAACCACGCAGAAAATCAACATTTACGAACCTGGATCACATACAATGCTCACACCGCGGGCAAACCCCGAGGCACCTGTTCTGCAGGTGCCAGAAGGGCACCATGCACAGCACCATGCATGGCACCTGCCAGGTCGCATTTTCTTGCAGAGCGCCTCGAGGCATGGCGGCCATCGGCTCACCTTCCGGCCCACCGAAATTGCCCGGGCGCTCAAATTAGCGCTCGGTCCGGACCGATGGCACGGTGAGGTGCTGTTTATTCCACAACAGCTGCCTCACCTGCCGTGGGTGGTGCCAGCTTGGCCCGGTGCAGGTGCCCTGGGTATTACCCCCGGTGTCAGTTGCAGAAATTTCTAAATATGCCTCCCGATGATGCAATTTGGAGGTCAATCCGGTCAATAACATTCCAGCGATTGACATGCAAATTTTACTGGAAGTGCTTGCACAATACTTTCAAGGTCGGCAATTTCTGGTCCCATACAGATACACTGGAAATAAACGGGTGATGCCACACTTGTGATTTCACTGAAACGCTAGAACACATTGCACTAGAATGTAATGCACATGGCCCAAATCTGATTTGGACTCTAACACAACAACTTTGGTCCATGAAATATTCTCAGTGGCCAACTCTCAACTGGGGCATTGTTTTGGGATGTAATTTAATCCGTTTTAAGTTGAGCAAAGGCATAGTTCTTCCCGAAAAAGGTCGACTGTTTGCAATACTGGTCTCTGTAGCATGGCATTTGATATGGACCATTCCTACAAACCGAGTACTAAAAAATCCAGATGTGATACCCACTCAGGCACAAATCCATAACCAGTGGGTGAATGCCGTGAACAGAGCACTATGATGTGATCAAGTCTTGACTGACAAGGTGAAATTCAGGCTGCTTGCTTTCCAGAAACAGATAGTGTTGAATACTTGGAGTGGTCTACTTACAGATGAAAATGTGTTGCCGGATGACTGGACGCACACAAAGGGGGTTTTAGTCCATGACAGATAAAATTGGTATTGGATAACCACAAAGGCTGGAGCCCACACTGGTTAAGAATACGTGCGTAACAGCATTTCCTCCTGGACAACTTCTCCTGGCATCGCCTGGCTCAAACCCAGCAACCAAAGCGGATGTTCTTAGAATGCTTCTGCAGACTATGTTTCATTACTCAAACGCTCCAAAAAAAAAAAAAAAAATTAGAAACTACATTGTATTGAGGTTTAAGAGTGAGGTGAAAGGTAGAAGCCCTAAGGTGAAGAAGCTTGAGGGTTGTGGGAGCCCTTTGGAAAAGCTTGTATACAGCCAGCCATATCTTGAAATGATGGTATGTATGTAAAGTGACATGGATCGAAAACCAGTGTTGGCCGTGGAGGCCTCCATTTGGGTCCCGAAAATTTTGGAGGCCTTCCGAATGCCGAAGGCTTCAATTGAATGCCGTTTGGAGGCCTTCGATCAATTTTCCCACGGTATCTCCCCACCCGATTTGTTACTTTCAGCATTGTGCTAACTTGTTTATTCATCCTCCGTTGCATTTGATGGAGAGTTACTGGTACATACCGGCGTCGTCCAGGTGATTCTTGACACACCCGATGCAATATGTTCCCCTGTTTTCCAGTTACTGCCATTTCACAACTCCCACATGTAGAAATATGGGATGGGTACGGTGTAAGACGATGAGCGGAAACAAGCGAGCAAGAGAGAGAAAAAACAGATCGTCCCTTGACGCACATGTGATAATTGAAGGCCTCCAAAAGCCTGCCGAAAATCTTGGAGGCCTTCCTGAATGCCTTTGGAGGCCTCCAATTTTTTGAAGCCTTCGGCCTTCGGGCCAACACTGTCGAAAACAGAAAGGTGTAGACAACCTTGAAAAAAACCCTCGAAAGCACAAGAAGAACAACACTCAAGCACATGAGGTCAAAGTTCAAGCACTGAAAATGATGGAAAACTTGAAGAGCAGAGATTCTTGGCATCAGCATATGTATCAAGAATGACAACACATAACAACAAAGTCAAGCTTCAAGCACTGAAAATTTGGAAAATTCTTGTGGACGAGCCAAGTGCTTATGGCGGTCACATTGAGGTTTTAATCAATTGGGTATAAAACTCCACTTTCCATGTTATTCTCTGTGTTTTGGCCAGAATGAGAAGTTTTTTCTTGGTACTTACAAAACATCCTTCATTTTGATGCAGTACATGATGTTCTGCAGGTGAGAGAACATATTTTTTGGGAGAAAAATGTTTTGTGAAGAAGATATTGAGGCTCTGATGTGATCAATCACATTGATGGCAGCCCACAAGCAAGTCCAAACATAGGTAATTTCAGCGCTCTGGAGAATCAGTCCTTTGTTGTATGACTCCTAAAATTGGGATTTGAATCCAGTGTCATACTTGTGCCTGCTCCTGAGCACTGAGTACTATTTTGAACGGATAAGCAGTTGTTATTCACTCCCTTCTAGAAAATCCAGCTAAATCTACAAGTCAGAGCTCCCTTGGGCTCTAAACCTGGGTTGAAGGGGCTGATAAGGATGTTAATGCAAATTAACCACTCTATACTCAGAAAGGTTGGAAAGCCACCTTCCACAGCCATGTTAGAGCTGTTTGGATGGAAACACAACTTGGTGTGCAAAATAGGAAGCTGTGGCTGTGAGCTTCAACCCTGTAAATAGAAATAATTCCCCTCCCAAAAACATATTTCTCTCACCTCAAGCTAAAAGGTTTTGTTTGTACATGAGAGAATGGTTTTACAGAGACTTCTAAAAAAATGTTCTCATGTGCAAAATATCGAAAATAACACGGAAACACGTGTTTTTATACCCTTTTGATTAAAACCGCCATCTGACCGCCATAAGTGCTTACAAGAACAAGTCCTTTTAATAAATCAAGGAAACCCTGTTCTTGTGATCACTTATACCTCATAACACTAGATGAACATTTCGGATTTTAGACTGAGGAATTTGGTATAAACTGTTTTGAATTTTCCACCAATTTTTCAGTGAAAAATTAAGTGAAAAACTTGAAACCTTTTTGGTAGATATTTTGTGATATTTCAAATTTTTCAGCGTTTTTGTGACTCAAAATCAAAATTTTCATCAAAAGGTTTCAAGTTTTTCACAAATTTCCAACTGAAAAATTTGTGTGAAACTCAAAATAGTTTTCACCAAATTTCTCAGTCAAAAATCCAAAATGTTCATCAATGTAACCAAGAGAACACCAAGTGAAAAGTATAATAAAGATTAAAAGAATATATTTTCTTGCTTAAATGTGAGCTATCCATATCATAGGTGCCCTATGTCAACAGATGTTTGTGGTTGGATGGCCGAGCGGTCTAAGGCGCCAGACTAAGGATCAGCTTCGAAATGAAGCGTAAATTCGGTACCGAAATCTGGTCCTCCGGGGCGTGGGTTCGAATCCCACTCCAATCAGTTTTTTCTCTCTTTCTTTTCTCCTAGGCATGACATGATGCGCATCATCAGGTGATCACGATTTTGTTTGTTTTTCTCATGCTGGCTTTCCCGATGCGGCTGAGTGTGTCGGTGATGTGCTGTTTGCAGTATGACCCACTTGGCACATTTCTTGATCATACTTTTCTAGGTGTTTGTCAAACTGTTTTTGTAATTCAAACAGGCTATGCTTGTGGAGAGGTAGGTGAATTGTTGAGATATTTTTACAGCTGAGTGGCTTTGTTGATGAGACTGAGTTGTGATAATGTATTCAAGTTCAATGTTAAAGAGTTGCCCATGATTCACGGCTCCATATATCTGTAATATTGAGGCAAGTGTCAGGGGAACCCCTATTTCCAGCCCTTCCGCTCCCGCATCTGGACCTTCCGGACCCGTTCCGGCTCCTCCCGATATCACATGGCCTGTGATTCCGCCCGGGACCTCTGCCGATCACTCCGGTTGCTATCACATGCCCCCCATCCGTAGTTACTTATATACCGGGATCTGACGCGGGTGATCCTTAGTCTTTCTTCTCTTCGGATCCCCCTCGTCAGGTCTGTCCATTTGTATCTGTAGCTACTCTGTGGTATTTATCTTCGGATCCCCCTCGTCAGGACTCTTGAGTATACTCGGGCCTTGAGGTTGCCCATACAGCAAGGGCTAAAAGTGCTGTAGCTATTGAGACCAGTGCAGGCAAGCTGGGATGGTGATGTTTGATTTGGTTAAAGATCTGTCTTGGCAAGGTAAAGGTGGGATGGCTTCGAGATGGTGCTTTTGGACATCTATTGCAAGGTACTTACATAGCACCTTTTTTGCTTGATAATCATAGGATACCTCTCTGGGCAGTGTTGTCTATTCCAGAACAATGTTAACATCACATGCCCACAGCTAGCATCATAACCAACTGAGCCAAAAGGCCACTATGACGGAGTAATTTGATTATAGGCTGTGGACTATATATAAATGATCACAGGCAATTTTCATGCATGTGACAGTACTGTCAAAGACTGGAAATCCTCGGGACCAAAGGACTCTGCAAAGTCCCAAAATGGAAGTACCAAGACAAGTCAAGACTCCAGGTCTGCCAAAGGTCCGAATTTCCTATCAACAAGCAAATGCGAGTGGGTGAGGTGCAATGAGACTTCACAAAGTAAGACTTTGTGAATGAACATTGAGTCCCATCCAATCGGACTCCGGTCCAGGACCGAGGGCGTGTCAGAGTGGGCTTGGCTTCAGCTCATATATTGTGCCTTTCACTACACCCAGTGCCCAATTTCAGAATAAGACAGAAACTAGACGGAATCCAAAGGACAGACAGAATTCCTGAGGAAGAGAGAATAGGAACAGTCTGAGTTGATTTTCAAGCTGAGCTACTACTACAAACATGATCTTTTCTATAAGTAAGTAGGATATAAATGGGGATATCAGAAAAAGACGGAATTCTGATGCCTCTGTGATGAAGATGAGTAATTGTGAGTAAAAAGTGTCACAGAGATTTCAGAGGATCAATTTACCCATGATGGAAATGAATCAGAGCATAGCATAAGGCATAGGTATAATCTGAAGGCAGTACAAATCAAAAGGAGAACAAGAAGTCGGAATGGGACGGGGCTGGTGAAATGCTGACTTGCAGGGTAGGTCTGAAATATAGCTTCGCACGCTATAGAATGAATATGGATTTATCCACACCAAACTAAAACACACTAAACCAACTACAACAACTCCAATTCAACGTGTGAGGTTCGGGGTTTCAATGCAGAAAACATTGTGGCAATTTGAGAGAGCTTTTCACTCAATTTCGTATAAAGTTATAGTTCTATTTGCCTCAAACTACTGTCACTGGATGAACATTTCGAATTTTTGACTGCTAAAACTGGTGGATGATTCTATTGAGGAACCCGGCTTTCAAAAGAAACCCCCTATTTTCGGACAACCCTTGAAAACGTCTACTCAGAAGCCCCTCCGGTATCACCAAGATCAGATGGCCCAATGGGGAAGGTATCGGATCAAAGCAAACTACTGACACAACGCGTCCTGCGCCGTGCGCGTCGCGTCTCTCAACGGAACAGTGTCTCTCTCAGATCCAAATGGCTTTCTCACTGGTACATTTGTTTCAGATCCCCACAGTACTTTAGTTGTGCCTTTGTCAACAAGTGCGGGAGGTTTACGCCGTTCCGGAAATTCAACCATGCCTATTCTGACTCAATATGTTTTGTGTCCGTGTGAACTTCGACGGTAACTGCAGTGCTCCGTGCCTCCGCAGTCCTTGGCTTCCTGTCGATTCCGAAGGCTGTGATATGACTCTATGTTTTAGTTGTGCTTGAAGTTGCATTCCGGGTTGAACATTACTTTGTACAACTAAGTCTTTGAGTTGTTTTGTTCGCTGAATAAGAGCGACTGGTTTTGTGTTCTTGAAGATGCCAGCTGCACCATATTCCCTCGTCTCTACGATGCCGTCGTTAAATCAGTATTGGCAACAACTAAGCGGACGCTGTGCCGCAAATCCTGCTTGGAGCATGGAGAGCACCACATTGCTTGATCGGCAGAGTTCAACGTGAGTAGGCAACTAACTGCGCATACACCCATTGCGGAAACACAGCCTAGCAGCTCTTCTTTAAAAGCTGGCCATTCTACCTGTAAAAAATGTCGACACAAATGGCTTCATTTCAGCCGTCTGCGTTCCTCAACTATTATACTCCCCATCATTCCACATGCTATTCCAGCACATTCTTTGCCAACCTCACCTTTCAGCAGGCCTCTGCACTTGTCCTGCCTACGATCTGTGAACCCAAAAGCATCTCAGCTTGGATCTTTACCAACGAGATAAGCACTGGCCACACTTTGGAGATTACTCCGAATGAAGCCATTCCTAATACTATTGATCTTCAACCAATTCTCTGCAAAATGGAGGAGGCATTTTCGAAGGGTGCTCGCTCCGTCGCCGTCTCGCTGACCGTTGCGGGCAAGCAGGTCGATGAACTCTACCATTTTTCCAAGGTCATGGTTCTTTATATTTCCTCTGCAATTTCCTTCATCTGACAAATCATCTAGATTCACCTGTTCACCAATCTCAACAACAACCGGGACGCAGTGCAGTCTGCATCTGCACTCGTAGCTCATTTAACCGATACTCCCATTGCTCCACCTTTCTTCCTCGAGCGATTTTTGACTCTCCCCATCTGCTCCTCTATACGTGGTTTTCATGTCACTGCGTTCCCCCTCTGGAAGCTTTCGTGCCTCCTCTGTGAGGAATGGCTCCACGAGGATGTGCTCAACGCACTTGCCGAGCTTTTGTATTTCTCACAGGCCGTGATTTTGAATTCCAAAATCCCACTCTCCCTGATTTTTCCCACCCACTTTCTTCACGATGCAAAATACCAGTTTGCTCAATCACCACCCACCTTTACTCCGAATCTCACTGCCCTTCGACAACGCTTGGAGCAGACCCAGGTCGACCACATGTTCTCCTTTGATTGCTTTTCTAATCACTATTCGGCATACCACACACCTGATTCTGTTCGAATGAGCTATGGGGATTCTATGCTGCTCCAGCCGGACCTGAGAGTACTCGAGATTTTTCAGTGGCTGGTAGATGGAACAGGGTTCACTCTGCCGGCTTCTGTGAGTAATTCGGATGTCCCTCGTCAAGGCCCAGCTTCTGGCAGTTGTGCCATTGCTTCATTCAACTTTGTTGAAACCAAGTTGGATCCAGAAGTTGGCAAATGGACCAACTCTGCAAGCCCGTTCTTCCGTAACCGAGGCTTGCGCGACCTCATCATCTATCACATCACTGCTTCAAATCGGATGCAGAGTGGCGAGGCAAGTGATGCATTATTCTCACTTCAGACAAGCATTGACTCAACCCGTTCAGACATATTCTGACTGGGTATTCCCTTGCATCTCACCAGCGGCTATGGATGAACCAGATATTGACTATGGCCCTGTTGGCTACAACGACTTCAACTTGGACGCTCCCAGGGTAAGGCATTATCCATTCTACTGTGTTTGATTTTCTAATCAATTTGGCCCAGGCTTCACATCCAATACATCGTTTCCTGACAATAATCCATAACTACTCAACCAAATTTCAGTCCGTTGCAGAGCCAGAGGTCGGTTGCTTCGCCGTATCAGGACTGGGGAAATATCTGACGAGTCCACAGTCCAATGACTTCCGGTTTATGTCCCTGTCGGCCCCGTTTCGAATGGAGAGCAGATCGGAATGTTTTCCCTCTCGACCGCTGCTCCCCCTGTTCACAGAGCTTCCCCGAGTGCGCTCTTCACGGATACATCTCGATCTCGCCACGACGCCGGAGCCCCCGACAGAGCCAGTAATTGATCTGTGTACCCCGAGTCCGGCACCTCGAATCAAGGCGGAAGCGATGGACAACATCATTGACCTCTCATCCCCATCCCCTGTGCAAACACTTCCCCGACATGTTCTGTTTTCCGACTTGAAACCAGACCCTGACATCATTATTCTTGATCCAAGCGTGTCGGCTCCACCACGGCTCAGTTCCGAGAAGGAAAACCATCGGAAACAACCAAAATCCGAGCCGTCGGCGCCTCATTTGGCGACAGTGGATACCGTTCGCCTCGGTTCATTTTTTGCCACTCTTGAACGGGGCCAGTGGGCTGTATACGAACACGAGGCTCAACTCGGTCACATTTGGCGCCGGGGCCAGACGAAACGCGCCAGCGATGGCTCTGTTCGGCGAATAACTCTTTGCTGTAACCATTATGGTGAGCCAAAGGCAACCCACTCCGACAATATCGACCCCTCCGATCATCGTGAAGGCCGTACCATTCGAACCAACTGTACCGCACATGTTAACCTTGCATCTGTACCCGGTGGATGGCATGCTACTGTGGTCGATTGGATGCATAATCACCCTCCACAAGTCCCTGTGGGTGGTCACATTCCTTGCCGTCCATCTGAGGGCCAACGCGAACTAGTTTCTGAATATGCTGCCAGCGGGAATTTC